CTAATAAACATTATAATCCATATTTTTACTTTTACCCATATACAGTACACTATAAAACAGTGAAATGTTGGCAGTTGGCACTTGCATACCACAGACCAAAACAAAGAGAACCACAGCCTCTCTGACTTTTATGGTTCTCCGCGGACTGCACTTTTATTAGACTTTCTGCTGATACAATCTTCACCACTTGCAGAGTAAGATTCAGTGTTAACATTGAGATAAGTTTGATTAAAGTCACTTTAAACAAGCAGTGCTGAGGCATCAGTAGCGTACAGCTATCTCTCCTTCCCAATCTAATGCTGTCTTGACACTGTAACAGTTGCACATTCTTCCTCTTTGTGCTTGTTTCAGCTCTAAATGAGGGTAGTTGTGACTAATGAGCGCTTTTGAGACAATAAAGAAGAACAAGCAGGGACACAGAGGATCATTAATTACACTTACAAATGACAGTGCTTAATCAGGTAGACAAACAAACAGGATATGGCTACTCTGGGGACCAGTGACACACAACCCAGCGATCACAATGTCCCATGAGAACAACACTGTTACAACATATCACGCTAAACATTTATACTGGCCTTGGAGGATGAAGGGAGAGAGAGAATTAAAAACAAAGCAATAGTGTTGTGAGTACTGTGTGCTGATAAATGTTTCTTTTGCAGCAAAATGGGCAATAAAGAATTACTGCTTCTTTAATGTGATAGTACTAAAGCTAGGTAATTGTAATAATATTAAATGACTTTTGCTAAGCATTTGAGTGTGTGCACACAGGGGGTCTGAGAACATTCTGGATAACCTGCTGTCCCGTATGGAGCAGTATGCGTGTAATCTGGAGCAGATAGTCAGTGAACGTACCGCTGAACTCCAGGAAGAGAAGAAGCGAGCGGAGGGACTGCTCATGCAGATGTTGCCACGGTAACGCTCCAGATTATAACAACAACAACAACAACAAAATGCTGATCCAAAGCTACCTAGAACTAATTTCTTCATTTTAAACTCTTCTTCCCTTTTCCATTCTTTTCATTGATTTACTAAGTAAATATGCAAATAGGCTATGACACACCAAGCTGAAGGTCAGCCATCGGCCAGTGTCAGGCTGTCTTTGAGCATCTGTTGGCCTAGTTTTTGTGGTATGCTCCCCTTGTTGGATGAGCATTGGCAGCTTTTCGGCAGATTGAGCATGTTGAATAAACAACGGAGTCTCTTGGTGATAGAGCCTACACTGATTGGCTGTTCAACTTTGAAAAACAGTGCACAGGAAGTCAAGAGGGCACACATACAGTGTTGCCAACTGCTTTCAGTTGAAAGTAGCTAAAACTGGTAGCTAAATGTCACTAGATGACATCACAATGGCAAATTCACTGATCTATATAAAGATGAACGTTGATCAGTGGGCAAGATGAGAACTTAGATAAGGTTTGTCCAAGTAGTTGCTATATTTGTCCCTAAACTTTTGAAAAAAGTCTCAAAAGGGGTGGGGAAGTCACTAAATCTAGCTACAAAGTAGCTAAATTGGCAACACTGCACACATAGAATGCTCTTTTGGTTCATCCAGTTTGTCTTTTTATATGATGAATACAGACTACTGCCACCTGCTGGTATGGTTCGCCTCTCATGCAGGCACAAACACTATGTGCTAGGCTGTTGGCTTTAGTCTTTTGTCAAATTTTTTGACTATAGTCGGCTTCTGTTTCCGCTAGTTTCCGCAAGCCTTAATGCTTAAAATGTTCAAAGGTTTTGTACTGAATGCAAATTTAAAATGTACAATTCTGTGAGACTGGATATATTTGACCCAAAAAAGTTGTTGACCCTAAAATGAAAATTCTGTCATCTATTATTCACCCTCATGTTGATCTAAATCCATATGACTTTTGTTCGTTTTTCGAAACAGAAATCAAGATATTTTGAATGAAATCTGAGAGCTTTTGGTCCCTCCACTGACAGTTTATTCACCCCAAAATTTGACTATTCAAAAAGTTCATAAAGACATAGCAAATGTAATCCATATAAATCGAGCCGTTTAATTCTTCTGAAGATACACAATCGCTTTTTTTGATGAACAGATTTAATTCAGGCTTTTATTCACATTTAAACATTGATCAATGCACATACATTTAGCAAATCAATATGGTAAATGGAAGCTCAAACATGCTTGCTTGTCACACAAGAACCAAAGAGGTTTGTTCTTGCGTGCCAAGCATGGTTGAGCTTCTGTTTATCATATTTCAATAGAGGGATGGAAATCTCTCAGATTTAATTTCAAAGACGAATTAAAGGTTTGGAACGGACATGAGGGTAATGATGTAAATGATGACAGATTTTTTTGTTTTTAGGTGAACTATCCCTTTATCACCTGGTTAAACTGGATGCGTAGTGAATGATGTAGGTTCTCTTGTTGATATACTGGAGGCAAAAGTGGCACAACTGTTCAGTGAATTCGTCCACACTTCAGTTACTAAAAACTTGCTTGCACCTGGCCTAACAAGCCTACGTGACGAGACCAGTGATCATCACCAAGCCCTCCACTTGAAACCTGCCTTTGAAAAGTGCCTGTCTTTTTTCTTGTATTTTTAGATGTGTAGCTGCTCAGCTCATAGCGGGAAAGACAGTGAGGGCAGAGACCTACGACTGTGTCACCATCTATTTCAGTGACATTGAAGGCTTCACAGCCATGTCAGCATCCCTCACGCCAATGCAGGTGATGAAAGACGCAGAGACTCAAACAGTATCTTAGAGAGTTTCTGCCCAGTTTCTGTGTAGGCCTTGTAGGCAAAAACAATTCAGAGAGGTTTTAAAAAAAATGTAGGTCCTATGTGGGTTCATTTGTACAGATTTCGATAATATTTTGAAAAATACATATGTCCAGAGCTATTTGGGGAGGTTTGAGGAGCCGCTGTCTTCTATTGTCTAAGATTTTGAAATACCCTGCACTTGTTAAATAATGCATGTGTCTATGTGTGTTTGTTTGTGCAGGGGTCTGTTGTAAGATCAAATACCCATAAAGTAAGCTCTGGAATGGGTTTCATATGTCCCATAAGAGCTCCTGACATTACTAGGTGACATGGCACAAGTGCTGAAAACTCCACTCTGTCACGAATAGCAGGCTTCTGTTAGCATAGCTGTTGGCTCAGTAGCCTGTCTGAGCCTTAACGTGGAAATAATACATTCACATGAGGTTATTTTTGGACCATACTGAAGCCCACAGCTGAACCACAACGGAAATATATTGTCACCTTTCAGAAACTTTGATCTCTGTATCTTTATTCATAAGCTGACTACTATAAACTGACTGCACATGTTTCCTTTGCTGTAGGTAGTGAACGTGCTGAATGACCTGTACACATACTTTGACAATATCATTGACAACCACAATGTTTATAAGGTACATAATTTGAATGCTTCACCACCTTGCAAAACGATTTAATCTATTGTAGGATATGGGTTGCTTCATGTGTCCTTTGCTGTATCCAGGTAGAAACCATTGGAGACCAGACTTTTCTTTTCTCAGGACTGCCATCAAGAAACTGTGTCCTAATGGGTCAGTAATGAAGCAAGACATAAAGCCAGTGGCGTCTATGTCACGATAGTTATTGTTGTTATCAATAATTATTTTACCCTTAAAAAAATTACTACTATTGAAAAAATATATAGTCACAAACTTAATCATTATCCTAATAGAAGCTTAATTTTAGATGGAATAGGTCACCTCCTTAGGGCTGACATGTGGCTGTTTTTCCCAAGGGAAAAAAAATAATTTTGTATGACTGAGTCAACCTACTACATTTAGTTTAGACCAAGAAACAATCAGCTTTTATAGTGTGCAGTTGATTGGTTTACAAATGTTTTGAAAATAGGTTTGATTGAATCAAGAACGAGCTTCATTAATAAATTGGATATCACTAATCTGAACTTCTGCTTGTATGTTTGTGTATTTATCTATGGCTATCAGTGTCTTTATTATTAACTAACTATTTAAAATAATTTCCATTGATTAAAATAAAGCTGAATTAATTTAAGATATAAATATTAGATGAAAAATGACCAAAGCTTAAATTAGAATTTAAATGAAAACTGAAAATATAAAAATAAACGCAAATTCAAAAGGCTATAATATTATTTATTTTTGTACAACACATCTTCACTCATTTATCTCAATCAGCTAATAAACATTATAATCCATATTTTTACTTTTACCCATATACAGTACACTATAAAACAGTGAAATGTTGGCAGTTGGCACTTGCATACCACAGACCAAAACAAAGAGAACCACAGCCTCTCTGACTTTTATGGTTCTCCGCGGACTGCACTTTTATTAGACTTTCTGCTGATACAATCTTCACCACTTGCAGAGTAAGATTCAGTGTTAACATTGAGATAAGTTTGATTAAAGTCACTTTAAACAAGCAGTGCTGAGGCATCAGTAGCGTACAGCTATCTCTCCTTCCCAATCTAATGCGGTCTTGACACTGCTACAGTTGCACGTTCTTCCTCTTTGTGCTTGTTTCAGCTGTAAATGAGGGTAGTTGTGACTAATGAGCGATTTTGTGGTAATGAAGAACAGGGCAGGGACACAGAGGATCATTAATTACACTTACAAATGACAGTGCTTAATCAGGTAGACAAACAAACAGGATATGGCTACTCTGGGGACCAGTGACACACAACCCAGCGATCACAATGTCCCATGAGAACAACACTGTTACAACATATCACGCTAAACATTTATACTGGCCTTGGAGGATGAAGGGAGAGAGAGAATTAAAAACAAAGCAATAGTGTTGTGAGTACTGTGTGCTGATAAATGTTTCTTTTGCAGCAAAATGGGCAATAAAGAATTACTGCTTCTTTAATGTGATAGTACTAAAGCTAGGTAATTGTAATAATATTAAATGACTTTTGCTAAGCATTTGAGTGTGTGCACACAGGGGGTCTGAGAACATTCTGGATAACCTGCTGTCCCGTATGGAGCAGTATGCGTGTAATCTGGAGCAGATAGTCAGTGAACGTACCGCTGAACTCCAGGAAGAGAAGAAGCGAGCGGAGGGACTGCTCATGCAGATGTTGCCACGGTAACGCTCCAGATTATAACAACAACAACAACAACAAAATGCTGATCCAAAGCTACCTAGAACTAATTTCTTCATTTTAAACTCTTCTTCCCTTTTCCATTCTTTTCATTGATTTACTAAGTAAATATGCAAATAGGCTATGACACACCAAGCTGAAGGTCAGCCATCGGCCAGTGTCAGGCTGTCTTTGAGCATCTGTTGGCCTAGTTTTTGTGGTATGCTCCCCTTGTTGGATGAGCATTGGCAGCTTTTCGGCAGATTGAGCATGTTGAATAAACAACGGAGTCTCTTGGTGATAGAGCCTACACTGATTGGCTGTTCAACTTTGAAAAACAGTGCACAGGAAGTCAAGAGGGCACACATACAGTGTTGCCAACTGCTTTCAGTTGAAAGTAGCTAAAACTGGTAGCTAAATGTCACTAGATGACATCACAATGGCAAATTCACTGATCTATATAAAGATGAACGTTGATCAGTGGGCAAGATGAGAACTTAGATAAGGTTTGTCCAAGTAGTTGCTATATTTGTCCCTAAACTTTTGAAAAAAGTCTCAAAAGGGGTGGGGAAGTCACTAAATCTAGCTACAAAGTAGCTAAATTGGCAACACTGCACACATAGAATGCTCTTTTGGTTCATCCAGTTTGTCTTTTTATATGATGAATACAGACTACTGCCACCTGCTGGTATGGTTCGCCTCTCATGCAGGCACAAACACTATGTGCTAGGCTGTTGGCTTTAGTCTTTTGTCAAATTTTTTGACTATAGTCGGCTTCTGTTTCCGCTAGTTTCCGCAAGCCTTAATGCTTAAAATGTTCAAAGGTTTTGTACTGAATGCAAATTTAAAATGTACAATTCTGTGAGACTGGATATATTTGACCCAAAAAAGTTGTTGACCCTAAAATGAAAATTCTGTCATCTATTATTCACCCTCATGTTGATCTAAATCCATATGACTTTTGTTCGTTTTTCGAAACAGAAATCAAGATATTTTGAATGAAATCTGAGAGCTTTTGGTCCCTCCACTGACAGTTTATTCACCCCAAAATTTGACTATTCAAAAAGTTCATAAAGACATAGCAAATGTAATCCATATAAATCGAGCCGTTTAATTCTTCTGAAGATACACAATCGCTTTTTTTGATGAACAGATTTAATTCAGGCTTTTATTCACATTTAAACATTGATCAATGCACATACATTTAGCAAATCAATATGGTAAATGGAAGCTCAAACATGCTTGCTTGTCACACAAGAACCAAAGAGGTTTGTTCTTGCGTGCCAAGCATGGTTGAGCTTCTGTTTATCATATTTCAATAGAGGGATGGAAATCTCTCAGATTTAATTTCAAAGACGAATTAAAGGTTTGGAACGGACATGAGGGTAATGATGTAAATGATGACAGATTTTTTTGTTTTTAGGTGAACTATCCCTTTATCACCTGGTTAAACTGGATGCGTAGTGAATGATGTAGGTTCTCTTGTTGATATACTGGAGGCAAAAGTGGCACAACTGTTCAGTGAATTCGTCCACACTTCAGTTACTAAAAACTTGCTTGCACCTGGCCTAACAAGCCTACGTGACGAGACCAGTGATCATCACCAAGCCCTCCACTTGAAACCTGCCTTTGAAAAGTGCCTGTCTTTTTTCTTGTATTTTTAGATGTGTAGCTGCTCAGCTCATAGCGGGAAAGACAGTGAGGGCAGAGACCTACGACTGTGTCACCATCTATTTCAGTGACATTGAAGGCTTCACAGCCATGTCAGCATCCCTCACGCCAATGCAGGTGATGAAAGACGCAGAGACTCAAACAGTATCTTAGAGAGTTTCTGCCCAGTTTCTGTGTAGGCCTTGTAGGCAAAAACAATTCAGAGAGGTTTTAAAAAAAATGTAGGTCCTATGTGGGTTCATTTGTACAGATTTCGATAATATTTTGAAAAATACATATGTCCAGAGCTATTTGGGGAGGTTTGAGGAGCCGCTGTCTTCTATTGTCTAAGATTTTGAAATACCCTGCACTTGTTAAATAATGCATGTGTCTATGTGTGTTTGTTTGTGCAGGGGTCTGTTGTAAGATCAAATACCCATAAAGTAAGCTCTGGAATGGGTTTCATATGTCCCATAAGAGCTCCTGACATTACTAGGTGACATGGCACAAGTGCTGAAAACTCCACTCTGTCACGAATAGCAGGCTTCTGTTAGCATAGCTGTTGGCTCAGTAGCCTGTCTGAGCCTTAACGTGGAAATAATACATTCACATGAGGTTATTTTTGGACCATACTGAAGCCCACAGCTGAACCACAACGGAAATATATTGTCACCTTTCAGAAACTTTGATCTCTGTATCTTTATTCATAAGCTGACTACTATAAACTGACTGCACATGTTTCCTTTGCTGTAGGTAGTGAACGTGCTGAATGACCTGTACACATACTTTGACAATATCATTGACAACCACAATGTTTATAAGGTACATAATTTGAATGCTTCACCACCTTGCAAAACGATTTAATCTATTGTAGGATATGGGTTGCTTCATGTGTCCTTTGCTGTACCCAGGTAGAAACCATTGGCGATGCCTACATGGTAGTGTCGGGCCTGCCTACAAGAAATGGAGACGACCATGTAAAAGAAATAGCAAGAATGTCGTTAGCTATAGTGCAGGGCATGAGGAGCTTCTACAGTCCACATATACAAGAGCAGCAGCTGAGGGTCCGCATTGGAGTTCATTCAGGTAATAACTGGATGGTGACAGCTCTTTGGCTGTGCTATTCGTATATTCACTGGCTGATCAATCACAAAAAGAAATGTGCTCAGGAAATGAATGTACTGGGGTATTGCGTTGTAATTTATGTAATGTAAGCAACATGCTTTTTTACGCTCTTTTACTAAAATATGAACAAGTATACAACAGATTAGAGGTGTTCAACCTTAGCCGTAGTTCAAGAGCTAGACTGGCAAATTTATTTTGTCTGCCAAAAACACATTTTAAAAATGTACTTATCCTCCACCAAAGCTTTGTAGATGGAAAAAAAAAATCAACATGAGGTACTACTCTCATATTTCCACTTGATTTTCCAGCCTGGATATTCACAAAATTTACACTACAATTCAAAAGTAAGATTTTAAAATAATAATAAGAATAAATAACACAAATAATAAAATGTCTATTTCAAATAAATGCTGTTCTATTAAACTTTCTTTTCACCAAAGAAAATGTATCATAGATTCCACACACACACACACAAAAAAAAAACTGTTAAAAACATAATAATAATAAATAAATAAAATGTTTCTTTTGTACCAAATCAGGATATTAGAATGATTACTGAAGGATCATGTGATCACACTGAAGACTGGAGAAATTTCAAAATAGAATACAAAATATAAATAAATAAAAGAAAAGAAATAATCCTCTCCATGTATAAAAATAAAAGAAGATTTCAGTATGCATAAAAATATGTGCAATATACTGTAAGAAACAGATGGACAAATTGTGCATTATCTAAAGGTTTAAGGGACTACTTCTCATAAATATATTTGATTATGACTGGTTATTTATACAAAAGGTTTATACAGTACATTTCATTTCTTCTCTCTCTTGCCTTTTTCAGATGTGTTTTGAATAGAAAACCAATGACGCATTTGTATATTCATTCTGATTTGGTCAATTTACACACCAGAGGAGTGTTTACGCTACTCAGGCATTCGTGCAGTAATTCCAACTTGCCAAATTGCTTTATGACACATATAAGAAAAATTCAAATAAAGTACATCATTATACATTATATTACATAATGTCACCATTAAATAGCTGCTTTAGGCACACAAAACATAGGCTGAGTACTATTGCAATAAAGCAACAGAAGAAACTTTATTTGAAATGTGTTTGTTAAAACTACTAGAGGTTGTGGAAAAATACATAAAAAAGTCATTAAAAAAAAAATCATATTGCTTGTTACAGGGTCATGTGTCGCAGGGGTTGTGGGTCTGAAAATGCCACGCTACTGTTTATTTGGAGACACTGTGAACACAGCATCCAGGATGGAGACATATGGATTACGTAAGATCATTCATGAAGGATATGCTGACAGCAGATTTGGAAGATATGTCAGAGAAGCATTTTAAATGAAACCCATGTGATTGATCTTACTGCCTTGACCTCAGCACTTTTTTTGACCAGCCTTTAATTATGTAATAGCGGAGACAGACATCCTATTGTTTTACTTTTTCCCCTCTCCAGCACTGAGGATCCATTTGAGCAGTTCCACCAAGTCTCTCCTTGACACTTTCAGGACTTTCCACTGTGAACTGCGAGGTGACATCCACATAAAGGTACAGAGTTTCTGCCACTTTGACATTCACCTCAGAAAGCATCATATTACTTTCATCTCGCCTGTCTTACCACATCACAACAATCTGATTCGCTCAACTGATTCTTTTCACACATATTTATTTTAGGATTGGTGCTTCAAAATTCAAAACAGTGACACACCCATTGTGTAATAAAATGACATCATAACTACAATCAAGGCCGTAAACACTGATATCTGAAAAGTTGTGTATACATGGCAACATAATTTCAGAAAGAGTGGAAATATTTCTTCAGTAACAAGTTACAGCTGGATAGGACCTATAAATAGAGCTCAATAGCCTCCTCTTAACAACAAGTTTTCAAAGCTTCGGTAACTGCTCTCACATCCCTGTTCTTTTCCATTTCAGGGAAAGGGCTGGGTGAGGACATACTGGCTTTTGGGAGAGGACTACTAAACCAGATGTTTTTTTCAATACTTTTTAACATAATGCAAAAAAAATAAATAAATAAAGAGTGTATTACACTATATTTATACTTTGTTTTGTGTGTTTGCAGTATTTTAGTTCAATAAGAACATTTCTAAATACAAAAGGTTGAGGTTGGTTAGGTTTTTCTATATTTTTGTATGTTATATCATATATTTGATGAAAATACAGTAAAACCCCCCAGAAATATCATGAAATATTATTACAAATATATTACATATATTACACATAACTGTTTTCCTTTTTAATGTTAACTCCAGTCTTCAGTATGATCATTTATGATCATAATGTTTCTTGAACACCGAATCATTATTGTCAGTGTTGAAAACAGTTATGCTGCTTCATATTTGTGTGAAAACTGCTATTTTTTCCCCCTCAGGATTCTTTGATGAATTGAATGTTCAAGACATGTCTTTACTGTTACTTTTGACCAAAATGAATGCATCCTTGCAGAATAAAAGTAAAAAAAACAACTTTTGCATATAGGCCTATACAGTATGCATATCAATACCAAAGTGTTTTCATATATTTATCTTTATATTAATCACAAAGTTGATTGGGCACTGTAATGTAATGGAAAATAATAGCCAAAGATCTGATATTTCCGTTTTCAATTATTCAAATATTTATTAGTGTTTGCATTTGAACACCCATTCCACGAAGAATATGCTAATAAATCAATTCTACCACAGGATGTTTTTGTTGGACTGTATTTTGTAATCTGTCACCTATATGGACGCTGCTGAGAGCAGGTCATTACATTAATAGCACTCCCATTCCACAGTTGACCCTTGGTGATTAATTCCCCCATCTGGCTTTTATCCAGTCATCTCTATCTTGCATTGGAGCTTTCACTAAAAGCCTTTAACTGTTTTACCATATTGACAGCAAACCTCTAAAAACTCTAGATTCAGTCTTAAAGGTCTACAAATTGCTATCATTGAAATAGACTGTCCACATCGGCATTACTCCTTTCTGGTAACCTTTGCCCCCTTATCACAAGGGGTCACAGACAGACAATTTTCAGACAAGACATTGCTGTATAGAATTGCCGTGCAACTTGTTGGGGGGAAATAAAAAGGAAATGTTTTCCTTAGTTATGGGAAGTTAATGGGAAACTTATCTGACTTGCAGATAAACGTCTCTAGGTTACGTATGTAACCATGGTTCCCCGAGGGAACGAGACGCTGCGTCGAAGTCGCTTTGGGAACGCCCCTGCGTGACCGCGTTCTGAAGCACGTACGCAGGGGCGTTCCCAAAGCGACTTCGACGCAGCTCGAGTTCCTGAAGGGGAACTTCAATTCAAACACAAACATCTCAGGAGATGAAGGATTAAAACTGTATATTTGTTCAAAGTTTGGGGATTTAAAGATATGTGTTGTTGAAAAGGTAAATTCAGGATTGAAACTGATTAAAGTAAAACATGAACCAAAAAAAAAAAAAAATAAATTTTAAAAATTAACAGTTAGGTTTAGGGGTGGACTTTCATGCATAGTTTCCTTGTAAAAATTTGACATACAAATCACATTGTGCGAATTCATCTGAAATTGCCACTTCATGAAATAGTTACGTATTCTCATGGGATTTATTTATTCTCGTTGATTTTCTCCCTTAGAGTTTCTGATGTTTTACTGAAACCATGCACTAGTATTTGTGCATAGCTTTTGGATATTGGAATGATTTTTCTTACAGAAATTTTTATATGAACACATTCAGTCATGAAAAGATTCCAAAAACAAGCATTTTGACTCGCTCATGAATATTTAATCAAATTCAAATCCCCTGTGAATGCTATCTTTATATAACTTAAAAAGACAAAGACTGTTAATGCTATTGTTAATGTAAAAAACTAAACAGATATAATGCAGAATACTGTATGCATTTAATGTAACACTTTCTATGAAGCTTGCATATAACTGCATTTAACCCCTTCTTAAGCAACCCCATTTTGGCATGGGGACATAAATGACATACCCTGCTCATGAGTCTTGCTGCTCATGAGTCTTTCTGACTAGATACATAACCAACATACAATGTTTCCCCTTCGGGAACTCGAGCTGCGTCGGAAAACGCTAGGGGGAACGCCTTCAGCGATACCAAGCTCTGAATCATATGTGTAATCAGTCGAATCGATGGGCGAGACGTCAGAGGCGGGTGACGTCATGACCAGGAAGCTTTAAAAGCATGTGAGGTGCAGCCGGCGTTAGCTTTTCTGTCATTCAGCAAAGCTCTTTTTTTCCCGATCTCCACACCGAGGTGTCGAGATCGTGGAAGAAACCATTCTCGGCCCGCTTATTCGTCGCCGCCTCTGATTACTATGGAAATGTGGCGGGGTTGAGTGAATGTGGTTACAGAGCGATGCCCCAGGTAGAGCAGACGCTTGCGAGTTATCTGTCACCTGGCGCGGCATCGTCTCTGAAGGCTCCGGTCTTGCCCTCCAAGCCGCTGCGAACCACTTCAGCGCTGGTGGGCAAGGGGTACTTGGCAGCGGGTCAGGCTGGTGCGTGTCTGCACACTATCTCAGTGTTACAGGCGTACCAAGCCGACCTGCTAAAAGAGCTTGACATTTTAGAATTAAGGAGAACCGCTGATTTAGCTCTCTGTGCCACCAAGGAGACCGCCCGTGCTATTGGGCGGTCCATGGCAGCGGAGAGGCATTTATGGTTGACCCTGTCCGATATGAAAGAGAAGGACAGGGTCTGCCTTATGGATGCCCCTCAGTGTCTTCATGTTTTGGATAGTATAGAACATTAGTGCTATATCTTTAGTGCAAATCATATTTCTGACCTACACTGGAGGGCAGCTACAGAAAGGCATGCTGAAGAGATGTTTTCACTGAATCCTTTTAAAAGAAAGGTAAAATAACAAATGTTGGCTTTGAGGTTTGATCACATGAACATTGCTTCTTCTTGTCGGTTTTTGGTTAGTAACTCAAAGGCACCAGTCACTGTGTCAACTACTTCGACTACTGGGGGAAAGGAACCAAAGTCACCGTTTCCTCAGGTAAGATATTGTTGACATTTTCTGTTATTCCATTTTTATAAAATTTTGAAGATCAGGTAAGGTCTTGACACAAATAACATGCAGACTTATTTAAAATTTTTGTCTTTGCTAATAGTGGAAAGGGGACGTCGGTAATCGTAAACAATATCGAGTAAAACTCT